CCTCCTCCTCCTCCTCCTCCTGCTCCCCCTCCTCGCTCTCCTCCCTCCTCCCCCTCCCTCTCCTTCTCCTCCCTCCCACTCCCTCTCCCCCCTCCTTCTCCTCCTTCTCCTTCTCCTCTGGCCAAGGACGCGCCCAGAGCACGCAGGTCTGGGCCCTCCACAGGGCCCTTGCAACTTTCAGCACGGACAGCACGAGGGGACTTGAGGGAGGACAATCCATTGGGAGGTTACGGCGCAATGGCGGATCATGGTGATGCGTTCGGCGGATGCGGGTTCGCAGCTCAATGGTGAAAGCGCAGATGCGCCACGAGTCGGGCCCGCCTTCATCCTGAGTCCTCCCTTCTTGGGTCCGACGCAAGGAATGGGGTGGGAAAAGGCACGGTGCCAAATCTGCTGGTCAGCCGTGGTTTCGGCCCCCCGCTGCTGGGCATTCTTCTAGATCGCTTGTCGCCTTCAGCGGAGGCGCCTGACAAGCCAGCTACGTGCAGCTGTGTCGCTAAACCCCTTTTGGTATCCCCCCTATTCCCCTTCCGTCCTCTCTGGCCTTTGCCAGTGCGACATTCAGGGGAACGCGTTGGCTTCTTGTGCACACGAGCCTCACATCTCGGCATCGCTCGGGCGTGTGTGACGTGCGTCTTTTCCTTTCGGCGATGCCAGCGCCTCAACATATGGAATGTCTAGGAGCATCTCGGAGCATCCAGCGAAAGAAGGAAACGCACGCTGACCGACACATGCGCCGGGAATGGACGCCCGAGCGAATGCAGAACATCCACCCGACAGGTGCGGGTGTCGATGCAGGGCGCCCAGTGCAAGCCCAGGACTTGCTGCAGCTCCAGGCGCGGCCTGCGGTGCGTCCGACGGAGCACCGGAATCTTCGGCCCGGAGAATTTTGGCATCGCTCGGACGCTTGCATTTTTCCTTCGGCGAGGACCATCGAGGAGCATCCTTGATCACTGGGCGAAAAAACCACGCACGACACCGAAGAAAGCACAGGGAATGGACGTCCGAGCGATGGCGAGGAAGCCATCGCCGCGCCATTTTGTTCCGATTTGCGGCCTTGCATCTTGGGCAGGGCACCCCAGCCACAGGGCTCGTTTCGATTCCTCCGATTCGATTCGATTCGACTTCGATGGATTCCGATTCCGATTCGATTCGATTTGGGCTTCCGATTTGGATTCCGATTTTTTATTGGAGGCATACTAGCCTGCCGATTTCCGCCGATTCGACTTTTCCCGATTCGGCTGCCGATTTCCGCCGATCCGATTCATGTCGATTGCCGATCCGATTTATCGATTCAATTCTGGGCTCTCCTGCAGCCACGAGGGCGAGCGCCGCCTCGGGCGCGGTGGGTTCGCCCTGGGTTCGCCGCGGTGTCGGCTTCGTCCACTCGGGGCGCGGGGCTTGCAGGGCTTGCCGTGGGTCTGCCGTTGCGTCGGCTCCCAGGAAAATGTGGAGAAAAAATGGGAAGTGGGGGGAAGGCGAAAATCAAGAAGATATGAAAAAATAGCGGGCTCATGGGATCCGCGTGTCTTCATCTGTGTGTCCCTGGGCCCCTGCAGCATGGACACTGGACGCGTCAAGCATAAACGCCGCGGCGACAGCTGAGGACATTCCTGCTACCTGCGGGTCGTGTGGGCTGCGCAGCTCCGTCCGCTCGCGCGTCGCTCCGCGGCCGCCCTGCGTGTGCCCGAGGCGGCCTGTGCCGCCGCGGCGCGGGGGCCTCCCTCGGTCGCCCGCCCTCCGCAGCCGCTTCTCCTCCGTTTGCGGCTGGTTCGCGTCGCGCCGACCGGCGGCGACCCCCTCGAGGGATGAACAATGCCACGGCAGAAGGTGTTTCATTTTTTGTCGGCTTCGGTCGGGTATAGCCAGGACCCCAGGTAAGGGGACCCGGCTAGTAGAATCACTAAGCCAGGTCTGCCGTAGGTGGTGTTTTTTTCGGGTGGCGGCAGTTCCGGTCAGTGGAACGGGGCGGAGGGGCGTCCCCCAGCACACATGTCTAAACCAGGTCCCACGAAACCCAGTTCTGCCAACGTCCGGTCTGGGGCCCTTGCCCGGCCCTTGGACCGTCAAAGAGCGACTCAGGATGCAGAGCTGGTCCCCGGGGGGGGCGAATGGGTCGAGACCTCTGGGGGTCGACGCTCTGAGAAAACACGAGGTCGGGGGTCTGCGTGCGGCAGGCTCGCGTCGTGCCGGCGCTGGAGCGTCGCGTCGGCCGCTGGCGTTCAGCGTCGGGACGCCACTGGCGACCCAGAACTGGCCGATGTTGGTCAGTCCGACGTTTCGGAAGCGGCCGATCATTCAAGAGGGAGCGACCCCGCGGCGTCAGGAGCCAATGCCGGGGTCGGCACGACGCGAACCCGCGGCACTCGGAGGAGCAAGGGGGCCATGATACTTCAAGGATTCTCCGTAAGTCCTAGATGTCCGGAGGTGCCGCGCGGACTGCAGAAACGAGGGCCGCTGGATACTCCTGGGAAGCGCATCATGGGCCAACTCCACGGTGACATTACTTGCGTCTAGTAATGCATTTCTTCATGTGCAAGTCGTTACCACGTCGCCCGCTCAGGCCGGGATCGCAACTGTCCTCCTGCCGGCGCGGGCGAAAGGAGGTTGCGTGTTCTGGCCGCGTCGTTGCCGCGCATGTTGCCGATCACCTTCGCTTTTCGTCTGCTAGCCGTTGATGCCCTTGGAGAGCCGACCTGTACAAATGTTGTTCTTGGCCTAGAGACCACGTGTGGTCAGCTCTCACCAGGTTATTGTCGCAAAAAGGTTGGCCCAGTGCATACAGGGCTACGATGACGATGGCGATGATGGTGGCGTCATGGCTGCCGACGAGGATACTAATGAGGCGTACGTGTCAAACGACAAGTATGTCGGTGAAACATACGCGTGTATATAGAAAGTACATATGCGTGTGTTTGTGCGGAACACGCGGGCGCGGTTGGAGATTTCCGTCACACTCCACCACAGTGGACAAGCGTTGTTCTCTTCAGGTTGGTGCGGGGGGCACGCCAGGTTCGGCATGAGTTGGCCCCCCCTGCCCAAAACCCCGGCGTGCCCATCCGAACGCCGTCGCCGCCGCCGAACATTTTTCCCGCGAGGCTACGAAACAATGCTCGAGTGTGTGTGTGTGTGTGTTTGTGGGTTGTGTGTGTGGTGTGTGTGCTTGGTTGTGTGTGGTTGTGTGTATGTGGCTGCCTGTGGTTGTGTGCTTGTTTGTGCTTGTGCTTGTGGTTGTGTGTGGTTGCATGATGTTGTGTGTCTTTGTGTGTGTGCCTGTGTGTGCATGTGTCTACGTATGGGCTTGTCTTTGTGTGGTTTGAATGTGTGGCTGTGTCTGTGCGTTTTTTCCCCAACCATCCTGTGGTGTTGGGTCCTCGTTTTGAAGAGACAGCGCCCCGCGTCCCATCTTCCTCCTCCATCCTCCTCCTTCCTCCTTCCTCATTCCTCCTCCTCCTCCTCCTCCTCCTCCTCCTCCTCCCCCTCCTCCTCCAACTCCTCCCTCCTCCCCCTCTTCCCTGCGTTTCACCCACCCGGGGCAGCGCTTCGTAGCCCCATAGGGAGCTCCACCGAAGGCCCCAGCGGGGGTGCCCGCATGCCGTTTCCCCACCCAGGGCAGCGCTTCGTGGCCCCATAGGGAGCTCCACCGAAGGCCCCAGTGGGGGGGCCCGCGGTTCCCCCACCCACGGCAGCGTTTCATAGCCCCATCGGGGGCTGCACCGAAGGCCCCAGCGGGGGAGCCCGCATGCGGCTCCCCCACCCAGGGCAGCGCTTCGTGGCCCCATAGGGAGCTCCACCGAAGGCCCCAGTGGGGGGGCCCGCATGCGGTTCCCCTACCCAGGGCACCGCTTCGTAGCCCCATAGGGAGCTCCACCGACGGCCCCAGTTGGGGTGCCCGCATGCGGTGCCCCCACCCAGGGCAGCGCTTCGTAGCCCCATAGAGAGCTCCACCGACGGCCCCAGTGGGGGTGCCCGCATGCGGTTCCCCCACCCAGGGCAGCGCTTCGTGGCCCAATAGGGAGCTCCACCGAAGGCCCCAGCGGGGGTGTCGCATGCGGTTCCCCCACCCAGGGCAGCGTTTCGTGGCCCCATAGGGAGCTCCACCGAAGGCCCCAGTGGGGGTGTTCGCCCGCATGCGGTTCCCCCACCCAGGGCAGCGCTTTGTAGCCCCATAGGGAGCTCCACCGAAGGCCCCAGTGGGGGTGCCCGCACGCGCTTCCCCCACCCAGGGCAGCGCTTCGTGGCCCCATAGGGAGCTCCACCGAAGGCCCCAGTGGGGGTGCCCGCACGCGGTTCCCCCACCCAGGGCAGCGCTTCGTGGCCCCAGAGGGAGCTCCACCGAAGGCCCCAGTGGGGTGCATCATCATCATCATCATCATCATAATCATCATCATCATCATCATATCATCATCATCATCATCATATCATCACTCATCATCAGCATAATCATTCATCATCATAATCATCAATCATCCATCATCATCATCATCATCATCATCATCATCATCATCATCATCGACTCTGTGCCCCCTCCTCCTCCCTCCTCCCTCCCTCCTTCTCCTCTCCCCTCCCCCTCCTCCTCCTCCTCTCCTCCTCTCCTACCATCCTCCTCCTCCTCCTCCTCCTCCTCCTCCTCCCCCTCCCTACCCCCTCCTCCTCCTCCTCGTCCTCCTCCTCCTCCTCCTCCTTCTCCTACTCCTCTGCCCAATCCGACTCCTTCGCGGAGGAAAGCTCGCCCTGCCGCCCCTAGATCCTACGTGGCGAAAATATCAACATCGTGAAAAGTCACGACCAGAGCCTCAGACCTTACCTCCTTGCGTTACTCTTCGAACTGCAGGGTCCCCTGGGCTCGAAGCCGAAGAAGGCAGCCCGCTCCTCCTCCTCCTCCTCCTCCTGCTCCTCCTCCTCCTCCTCTTCCTCCTCCTTCTCCTCCTTCTCCCTGACAGTGTGTGTGGATACCAGCGAATTCCTCCTCCTACTCCTTCTCCACGACGACCCCCGAGGAGGGCCAGCTGGCGGCGTTTCTGCCCGCGCTCGTGGGCGTGCCCCTCGCCGAGGAGGCCGTCGGCCTCCTGCTCGCAGATTGCGCCCGCAGGCAGGACGCCGGCCTCTCGCGCGAGGTTCCCCGGGGCGGGAGACCTTGCCGGCCTGGAGCATGGCCCTCCTCTTCTTCCTCCTCCTCATGCTCCTCCTCCTCCTCCTCCCTCCTCCTCCTCCCTCCTCCTCCTAGTCATCCCTCCCCCTAGTCATCCTCCCGTATCCTGCTCTCCTCCCTCCTCCTCCTCCTCCTCCTCCTCCTCTCCTCCTCCTCCTCCTCCTCCTCCTCCTCCTCCTCCTCCTCCTCCTCCTCCTCCTCCTCCCTCCTCCTTCTCCTCCTCCTCCTCCTGCTCCTCGTCCCTCCTTCCCATACCTCTTCACGTCGTGACAGAGATCACGAGGGGCGTTCTGCTCGCTATTTTCGGCGGCCAGGGGCCCCTCCCGAGCCTCGGTACCGTCAGTCAAAAGTCTCAGGATGAAAATGGTCCAGATTTTTGGGTGCCGGCGTTGTGAAAAAAAAGCATGGCGTCGTGGGTCTGGGTTGTGATTGGCATCGCCCTGGCTCGGTGTCGACCTTGAGGACCAGGAGGGCGGAGGAGGGAGGAGGAGGACTGACTTTGAATCGACTCTGGGCGGGAGCCACTGTTGGGGCACGGCGGGCGGCAGATTCGCGCCGCGTCGACGCTGCTGTTCGACACTGGCAGCGTCGCCGTCGCGATGTGAGTTTGCCGAAGTCTTGTGCAGTCAAGACGCTGAACTAAGGACCGCCTCGGGTTCAGGAGGGGCTCTCGTTTTCGAGCCGTTCGTTAAGACCCAGGTCGGGGAACCTACTGGTGGCCGAGGCTCGCTGTGGCTAGGGAAGCCCCTTCGTTCCTTACTCGGCATTCCCTAGTGTAGCGCGATGACTGTGTGCTTGACGCGTGGTTCGAGCATCGAGGGTCCAGGATGTTCCAGAGGCTTTTCTTGGGGCGTCGAGGGCGCCTTTGTGTAGGGGCCTCCAGAGGCCACGTGGGTCCTCAGGAGCGTGCCACGGCTTTTGGGAGCGGAGGAAATCATCTCCGACGCCTCCTCCTCCTCCTCCTCCTCCTCCTCCTCCTCCTCCTCGCTCTCGCCTCCTCGCCTTCTCTTCGTCTTCGCGGAAGAAATCACCTTCGACGCATGGGATTACCGCCTCCTCCTCCTCCTCCTCCTCCTCCTCCTCCTCCGGCGGGCGTTGCTTCCTGCGAGTGAGCCCAGCCATGAGGTGCCCGTGCAGGGCCACCAAGGAGCTGCCTCGGAACACGGGGGAGCGACATGATTCATGTCAGCTTGTGCGATCAAAACATGAGGGGCGCGTGATTTGTTACAAAGAACAGTTCCTCTGCTCGAGCGAATCGCGGGGGAGGGGTGGCGCCCTCCAAATCGAAACGCACTGCGACGCCGCCAGTGATTGGCACCGACGCCTGGCCGACTGCAGGAGGGCGACAGGCGCGACGCAAGCGGCGGTGTTTCAGCGAAAAGGGAACAGCAGCGCCTCCGATGTATCATGGCGCTTGGTCCAAAGCGGCTACACACAGGCGAGAAAGAGGAGGCAGGGGAAAGAGACGTTTCGGCTGGCGGGCGCTGACGCCATAGCAACGAACAGGAACGGGATGGGAGGGGGAGGAGCGGAAGCGACAGTCGGAAAGTGTTCCTCTTTCTCCTTCTCCCTCCCTCTTCCCCCCTTCACTACAACGTCCTACGACGACGACGACGACGACGGCGGCGGCGAAGACGACGGCGATTGCGGACGACGACGACGATGATGAAGACGAAGCTGTCAACAACAAGGCGACGACGGCGGTGACGACGACGCTTTGTGGATGCCCAATGGGGGCGGGGGGGGTGCTGCGTAGGCCCAGCCCTCTATAGTCGACGACGACGACGACAACGACGACGACGACGACGACGACGACTGTGGCACGTCAGTAATCAGCCTGACATTGGAGAAAACTTCGCCTCTGATGTTTACGATCCCTATCACAACCTCTATACGACGGGCAATCGTTTTGAGGCTGCCGTGTATGGCACGGGGGGTACACGATCCCCTCGACGGCGCCCGCGGCGACCCCCTGGCGCGCGCGATTAAAGACATTAATGGGGGCCTCATCTGTGAAGCACAAGCTGACATTATACGGATGCCATACTAATCCGCACGAGCTCCAGCGACGAAGGCCATTGAATCCTCTGGAATTCCTGGGACGCTTCTTGAGCCAATCGCATCATGGCATCCTTCTCGTTTGTGGTTCCTTTTCGATAAAGAAAGAAGAGACAAGAAAAGAAGCAGGGGGTGTGTTTTTGTTCGGTGATCCACTTTCCGTGTTGTGGTCAACCAGATGTAGCAGACACATAGCGACAACCCAAAACAGAACAGCCACGACACCCGCCGGGCCCAACATGAGAGGAACACGGCAACCAACATTGAAGAAGCATGGTAACCTAAAACAGAAATAACTAACATAAACGGAGCGCAGCAACACGGCAGTCTCAAGCATGTAAAACACGGATCGTACATCGATCCTTAAATGGCAAGATGGCAGTCCCACAACGCAAGACACATGGCAAACCAATCAGGACAAATCAACGTCGATCTCGAGAATGCAAGATGTCCCCAGCGTTTGTATCTCCCCCTTGCTGCAAAGCAGTTGCAGGTGTCGTGTTGGGATCACTCCTTCTCCCGATCCCCCCCTCCTTGCTCCACCTTCTTGCTCCTTGCCTACTGCTTTCTCCCCTTTCCTCCGCTTCTCTGGTCCCCCTTCCTTCCTCTTCCCTCCTTCTCTCCTCCGCCCCAGGTCCTGCTTCTGCTGTTCGTGCTCGTCCCCCTCCTTCCTCATCCTCCTACTTCTCCTTCTGCTCATCCCCTTGCTCCCCCGACACCTTCGTTTCCAATGCTCGACGTTCCTGTTGTTCCCGCTTGCGCCAAACACGATGGGGTCCTTTGTGGAGTTCCGGGTCCGCTACGACGCGTGTCGGTGGGCAGAGGCAGCCGCAACGCAATGCGAGGGGATGGGTGGGATGGGTCGAATGTCAGCTTTGGTGCGAGCGCACCTAGCTTGCCTCCTGTCCCTCGCCCTCCAGCCCTCGTGGATAGGAGTCCCGCCTCCTCCTCCTCTTCCTCCTCCTCCTGCCTGACTGCCTTGAACTGCCCGCGCCATCGCCGAGGTGGAAGGGCTCACCCACGCCCGGGCCTTGCCAGGTTAGACTCCTGCGGTGCTCCACGCCTCGTTGTGTCTTCGCGCTGCCGACAGCAGCCCCAGTTGCACCCCTAGCTACAGCTAGTGGGCTCAGCAGGTCTGCGCCAGCAAACAGCAACGAGCATGGAAGCAGGGATCGTATCTAACCGCTGGAGGAGTCCTGGGCGGTCTCTACGGTAGAAGGAACGACAATGCGTGGGCCCCCCAGCTCCCCCAAACTCCAAGTTGGCACGCGCGGGGAAGACTGCGGCCGAAGTGCAGCTCATTCAACCCTCCGCCAACATCAAACAAGGGGGGCATTGGCAGACAAGTGCGGCATGAGTGCTCACCACTTTCGCCCGAAGCCCGTATCGCTGTGCGCACTGCGGGCAACATCTTGGGCCTCCTGTGAGGCCCTCATCGCGACGGCTGGATGCGCCTCGAGATCCTAGTCAGGACGCACCCCGGGCAAGTGGTGGGCCCCGGAAACGGCAGGGCCAGTTTTTCACCGTTTCCGAATGAGTGTCTCTGGAAGATGCAGGCGGCAAATCAACAATCAACGGCGACCGGAAACGGTAACGAAGATGGCTCCAGGATTAGAACCAGAGCCGGAACCCGCAAACAAACGGCGATTGAGCCGGCAAAACAACGGCGTCGGAACCCGCAACAAAAACGGCAAAACGGAACCGGTAAAAAAAACGGGCCTGTCGTTTCCAGGGCCCACTAAGACCCCGGGAGAGGTCCGGGAAGTAGCTGTGTCGGTACCTTCCAGTTTCCCCAATTTCGTGGACATGCATGCGAGCGGCAGGCAGCGTGTCGTGGGACGTGGGCCGAGGCGGTCGAGGATCGTGCCGCTCGTTGTCGTTACATGCCCCCCGCCCTCCCCCTGCTCTTCGTGCGTATGGTTCTCTTTGTCCGTTCCATCTTCTTCCTTCCTCCTCCGTCCCAGCTTGTCTCGCGGTGGCCCCCCACGATCAAAGTTCAATCAGGATTCATTGCATCTTTCTAACGTCACTAGTCACCTGCTTGTTTTACTGCTGTTTCTTTGCTTGGGTATGTTTGCAGCTGCGTGCTAGGGTTTGTGGCTTGTGTTTGTTCGGCCGACCTGGTTCTCGTATCCTCTTCTTTCCTCCTCCTTCCCACCTCGTCTTCCCCCCACCTCCTTGGGCCATGTTCTCTTTGGAAACGCGTACGGTAAGCAGCGCCTCGAAGGCGCGAGTCAAGCTCGCAACTGCCAGGCTGGTGACACCTCCCATGGAAGCGCCAGCCGAAACGGGATGAGGAGGAGGAAGAGGAGGATAATGATGAGGCGGAGGAGGAGGAGGAGGAGGAGGAGGAGAAAGAGGAGGAGGATGAGGAGGAGGAGGTTGCGCGGCCGGCTCTGGCCCGCCGCGCTCCGGCGCGGCGCGCAGAGACCGTCCCGAGCAGCAGCGGCCCGAGCGGCAACCAGCCTGCAGAGAGTGACGCGTCGCAGGGGGAGCCTATTCCTCCTCCTCCTCCTCCTCCTCCTCCTCCTCCTCCTCCTCCTCCTCCTCCTCCTCCTCTCCTCCTCCTCCCTCCTCCTCCTCCTCCTCCTCCTCCTCCTCCCCCTCCTCCTCCCCCTCCCTCCCCCTCCCCCTCCTCCTCTGGGCGCAGGCCGCCGCCGCGCGGCCCCCCCCCCCCCCGAAGGCCCAAACTTATCCTCGATTTCCAGTGGGGGGGGGTCGGGGAACATCGAAAAAACGCATGGGATCCGTACACCCCCCACCCGAAATTCGATCCAAATTCGGGTCTTCGGGTTGGGTTGGGGTGGTCTGGTAGGTAGTCAGAGCCGCCGCGGCACGCAACAGTACTTTGCATCTTCGGGGGGCATCTGCCGTCCTGTAAATGGCCGTCTTCTCTTGCACTCCGACGTGAGTTCGACGCGGGATCGGCTCGGGTTCGACGCGGATGCGACACGGGTTCGACACGGATTCGATTCGTTCGACACGGAGTCGACACGGATTCGGCGTGGATCGCGGTGCGACGGGACAGACAAGGTCCCCCGAAGAAGCAACACAAAGCAAAGCAACAGTTTTTGACCGTAATTCTACGGTGTGGGTTTGGGTCCCGCAGGTCTCCTCTGGCGGAAGAAGGAAGAGCGCTCTGGCGGAAGAGGGAAGAGCGGCATAAGCATGAGTTCTCGAGCCCCGCGCGGATTTCTTCTATCAGCTCCGAGCGTTAACTGTTGTATAGGTTCTATTCTTCAGTCCTACCCACCCCTCTTTCGCTCACTGTTCACACCGTCGATGTCGTCACGTTGTAAGCTTGCGCCCTGCCGCAGGTGGAGAAGCTCGCTCGCGCCCAGGCTGGTTGGATGCAAATGATACGCCGACGCCGGTCACGATCGTCGCCATGCGGGTCAAGCGCCCTAGGATTATCGGAGGCTGATTGAGAAGCCCCATTTTGCCAGGTCGATTGGCTACGTTGCATTTTGGGGGGACCTCGGGTGTCCCCAAAATTGGTGTCTTCTCTTGTGCCCGATGCGGACTCGACGCGGATCTGGCATGGATTCGACGCGGATTCGACACGGATTCGACACGGATTCGACGAGTCCGACACGGATTCGACACGGATTCGACGCGGATAGGGTGGCGACGGGACAGACAAGGTCGCCCGAGGATACAACATACGATCGGTAAATTGAGGAGGAGGAGGAGGAGAAGGAGGAGAGAGGACAAGGAGCGGGAGGAGGAGGAGGAGGAGGAGGAGGGTGAGGAGGAGTAGGAGGAGGAGCGGGAGGAGCGGGAGGAGGATCGAGAAGCCCCGCCTTGCCAGAAGCCGACTGGTGAGTTGCCCCATCCTCGCTTCTCGGCAGGCTGCCGCGCCCGTGCTCTGGTGCGTGCCTGCGCCCCTCGGGCCTCTGGCCCCCGGGCCGTCTTTTCCGCACGGAGGGGAGCGCGGAGCGCTGCTCCCCCCCGAGGGTTGGCAGTCAAGACGCGCTGGAACTTTCAGGCGATCGCAAACACGGATCCACAAGGGCTCCCTCGAGGGCGCGAAGTGATTCGCGCTTCGCGCTTCGCGGTCCTCGTTCCTTCTCCCCCTCCTCCTCGTCCTCCTATTCTCCTTTTGGGAGGGCGGCGCGAGAGCGCGAAGTTATTCGCGCTTCGCGCTTCGCGCAGCGCGAAGCGCGAAGTTGGGAGCCCTAGATCCAGGGGGCGTGGATCAGCACCGGGTCCCGCTTCCATGCGAAGTCGCGGCCCTCCGCCGCCGAGCGAGGCGGCACCGGCCGCCTTTTGGGGAGGGTACCTCTCCAGATCCATGGATCTGGCGACCGCGCGCCAAAGCCATGGATCGCTAATCATGGTTTGCGCGCCCCCGAACTTAGTGGGCCCTGGAAACGACAGGGCCGTTTTTTGCCGGCTCCTTTTTGCCGATTTGTTGTTGGGTCCGTCGCCGTTCTTTTGCTGGTTCCGTCGCCGTTTTTTCAGTTCTGTTTCCAGTTCCAATCCCAGAGCCGTTTTGTTGCTGTTTCCGGTCAAGAGATGTATCGGCGATGTATCGGCTATACGGCTCGATTTGGGGCCCACGTTTCTCCAGCCCGACGTCGCGGATGTACCCACGTCGCCAGTGCATCGCCGATGCATCGGTGATGCGGCGCGATCCTCCGACACCATCTTATCCGACCCCATCTAGGAGGCCTCTGGATAAGGACCAGTTCGGGCTTGGAATGTAATTATTCAGTTGTTTCTTTTGGTTGGCTTCTGCTCTTTCGTGCGCTATTACTAGCGGACCCCTTCGGCGCCTCATCGGCATCATCGTCGGGGAGGGTCACCTTGGCAGCGGAGGCCGACGACGAGTGAACCCATCTAGAGCGAGGATCGGACGCTTCCAAGACTTCTTAGGCTCGCTTTGGACAAAGAAGCTGCGTCCTTTTTTCAACGTTCCTTACAGTGGAGGCCCATGCCAAGAAACACCCTCCTTGCCTCCAGGGTGCCCTGGGTTTCGTGGGTTTCGATGGTTTTTCGATGGAAGGTGGGACGTGCCCTCGCCAGAAATCAGTGGACGACCTGGGGTCTCAGGGTTGGGTTTCTTGTGGAAGGTTTCTTGTGGACTGGCCTCCACTGTATTTCAGTGGCTTGACTGTATGCCCTCCCGGCCAACCCAGGAGGGCGCAAGCACCAACCCCGTGGGCCCAGGGTGGACACGGCCATGATCGGCGCACGCGGTTGTTTCTTCGTCCGAGCTCGGCTCGGGAGCACACAGAATCTGCCCTGGCGCCTCTGCAGAGTGCGTTCTGGCCAGAGTTTGAACTGGCATCGAGCCGTAGCCACTGGCCTGGCATCGCTCGGACGTGTGCATTTTTTCTCGGCGAGGGCCATCGAGGTGCATCCTTTTTATCATTTGGCGAAAAAACCACGCACGAAACCAAAAAACACACACAGGGAATGGACGTCCGAGCGATGCCCAGCTGGACGTTTAGCCCACAGGCGGCAACACAAAAGAGCCGTCCCAAAGCCACGGGGCCCCGGCCAGGAAACGCGCCCTGCCCTGGACCCTTGGGGCGCTGCCCTGGACCGGATAGCTCTCCAGCCTGGGCAGTGTTCTGCAAGCCGCGCAGTCCGTGGAGGGCCCCAGGGCCCGAAACCGCCAGAACAGCTTCCAGGGTCACACCCCTCCGGGATCCTCAGGGCCCCAGAAATCAGGGAATTGCAATGCAGGGCTATGCCTCATCCGCCCCTCGAAGGAGAAACGAATCGAGGATGCCTCGCCCCGCGGTTGCAGTGTACTTGGGTGCGCCACTATTTCGTTTTATCCAGGTGCCCGTCTACGGGGTCCTGAGACCCGATCCCAGACAGCCGATGGTTTGATTGTTTCCTTACGCGGTCTCTGCAAGCCACGACCTTTTCCCCAAGGGCTGGTTTTCACCCAGAGTTGCTCTGTTGACGGTCCCGGGGCCCAGCGAGGGCCCCCGAGAGGCCGAACAGTGCGCCGCCTTGAAGTTCTCACGATTACGGGGCCGAGCAATCCACACCACCAACACCTCATCCCCTCCCTCTCCCAGGCAAGAGGAGAGGAAGAGGAGGGTAGAGGACCAGGAAGACAAGCATCGGGCTGGGAGGATGGGGCTGGGCGACATGAACAGATCATCCGAATCATCGCGTATGGATCACATCACACAGTCGTGCCCCTGTATCTTCCCAGCCCCTTCCGACACGAAGATAGTCTCTCTCTCTCTCTCTCTCTCTCTCTCAGAGGAGTGAGGGGTGCTGCTGTGCGTGTGTGTGTGTGTGTGTGTGTGTGTGTGTGTGTGTGATTATCTTCCTGCAAGTGCTCGTCAGGTAGGGGCTCTCTTCCTGCCAGAAATGCTTCAAAAGCCCCGAAGCCCGATCCCGCGGTGCCCAGGGCTCCGCCGGGCTCTCGGACGCCAACTACGCGCTGCTGGTGCGCGCGGTGGCCTGGGGGGGCGGGGGAGGCAAACATCGGCCACGCGCGCAGAGGGGGTAGGGTGAGGGGGGGAAGGCTTCTTCGAAGCACCCCTGCTTCTTTCGAAGCCTTCCTCCCTCCCCCATACCCCCATGCGCGCGCCGCCCAACAACATGTAGGCTCCGTTCCATAACTATTCAGCGTTCCTTATGGAAGTAGCTTGTTCGTCACGCCCCCCGCCCATGATAATTGGCGGCCCACCGAAAGGGGAAGTAGGAGGTGCCAGGCCCTCTCAGAAGGCGGCGGGGCTTCTCAGAAGCCCTCTGGCCTTTTGAGAAGCCCGCTTTGACTTCGGAGAAGGTTCAGGGAGTTTCCCAGTAAGCGGGCCTTCTGAGCCTTCTGATCTGGGAAGCGCAGGAATCGAGTTCGCCAGAACTCAGGTCTGCCGATGCTTTTTGACGGTCCTGTTCTGGGTGTCGATGGTCCAGTTTTCGTGGGACGTTTGCAGCGGAAGTTCGCGTCAAAATTCAGTCCGGGTTTCTGACGGCCCCGTTGGGCCAACCCGAGTCAGCCGAACCCGAGTCTTACGTCTCCGCGATCTGAGAAGGCCCACACTTTCGACCTGCCTCTAGGGCCCCCACATGGGGATCCGAGTTGACGGGGTCAGAGTATCGCGGCGCATCTTCGATGCATTGGCGATGCGGCATGATGCGGAGACATTTTTTTCGCCACGCCGACGGCGGCGACGCCGATGCATCGGCGATGTGTCGGCGATGAATCGCCGATGCATCGGCGATGTGTCGGCGATGCAGCGCGATCCCTCGAAACCATCTACGCGGACCCCTTAGGGAAGCCTCCTGCTATCCCCCTGGGCACCCGCCAAGACAAGTTCTCAACCCCCGGTTGCAGTGCCCGAGGTGGCAAGCGACCCGGGCAGGGTGCGCGAGCTGTTCGAGGAGGTGGCCGCATCGCGCTCCACGCTGCCGCAGGACCTGGTCGTCGTCGTCTTTTTCGTCGTCGTCGTCGTCGTCGTCATCGTGTCGAGGTCGAGGTCGAGGTTGTCATCGTCGCGCTGTCGTGCGCGCGGGGGCGGGAGACTGGCTGCCTTCGGTGGACAGGAGGGTCTGGATGGGGTGCATAGAGGAGGAGGAGGAGGAGGAGGAGGAGGAGGAGGAGGAGGTGGAGGAGTAGGAGGAGGAGGTGGAGGACGACATCCGTAGCCATTTTGTCTCCAGTAAATCATCTCTCAAGTTGGTAACGGGTGGCCAATCTTCTCGGGGCCCCATCAGAAGGCTGCCGATCCAGGGGTGACCCAATGTTTCCCCTTTCCTTCGGCTGGCTCAGGGGCAAGGTCGGAGGCAGCATACTAGACACGATACAGTACTTTCCCTTTTGTCCACCAGACAGTTTTTCGCCGCGGTGGGAAGTCGGTCGAAGGGTCCACATGACTTCTCTTGGTCTTGCATCGAGTGCCAGGCGACAACCAGCCGCAACCTGCACTGGTGCTGGATGTGCGGGTCCCACTGGACGAAGACGGCTGCGGAGTGGCACGCAAGCAGCGGTGGCCCGAGCCCCCGTGGAGATGTGCCCCAGAACGGCGACGACAAAAGTGCTGGCAAGAATGGAGGTGGTGGCAAGAAAGGACGTGGTGGCAAGAAGTGCCTTGGTGTCAAAGGCCAGGCCGGGCGGTCTGGCTCGCATGGCGATGCTGATGCTGCTATCACTGCTGAACGTGCCGACCCCTCCCAACCAGATGCCACTCAAGATTTCAACATGGACAAGGATCGGACGCCTGTTGCCGTGGTCCAGGAGATCCAGGTCCTGCAGCGTGCCTACGACGTTCTCACCAGGCAAGAAGATGGAGGAGACAACTGGGCCATGGACTGCAGCGCCAGCCAAGCTCCAGGATTTTCAAATTGCAAGAGACAGTACCCAGACTGAGATTCAGCGCTTGCTGGTGGCCAGTGGCAAGCTTGCCAGGCTCGAGAAGCAAGTGGAGACCCACAACAAATCCGTGGGGCCCCTGGAGACCACAGTCCAGAATGCGCAGACCCATCTTCGAGACCAAGAGCGTGCACTTGATGAAGCGCGTGCAAGTCAGGAGGGGCCGCACCAGAAACGTGACGAGTTTACGCAGGAGTGGCGTCGAGCCCAGGAGGAAGCGGATGAAGCGGCTGCCAGGAGACTTCGTAGCCCATTTCCGACCCCAGAGGCATTCTTCCACCTTGCCAAAGACGACATGTAGGCTGCGGCGCTACAGCGAGCTACAGCTGTTGGCACGGACCCTGAGACGATCAAGCAGGCCCTCGCGGTACTTCGGCCTATGGTGGAAGCGTCGAGCGGATCAGCGGCGGCCCCAACACCACCAGCAGATGCAGCACCCGCTGAACCGCCTCAACAGCCTGCACATGTACTGGCAGGAGCTCTAGCTCACCGCCAGGGCCCCCGCCAGGTCAGGAACAAGCTGGAGCGGCAGACGGAGCAGGCCGTGAACGTGAGACTGAGTCCGCTCGCGCCTCCCGCAGCCCCCGCAGTCGCAGGGCGAACCCAGGTCGCCGGGCTGCGGGGAAGGCGGAGCTTGCTTATCAGAGCGTGAATTACCTACCCCGCTTTCGCTTCCAGGCAAAGCCATGTAATACCACGCGCCTCCTCGTCAAGCGGCCTGATCAGCACAGGCAGTAGTTTGGCATCGCTTGGTATCTCTTGGAAGCGAGGGCGGTCAAAAGCGAGGTAGGTTTGTTTGCCCCCTAGTTTAGTGATAGCTCGCGCAGGTCAGCAGCAGGCCAGGCCTCTCGCCCGCCCCGTCGTCCTCCGGAGCCCCCATCACCTTGTGTCTCGGGGCCCCTCCTTCCACTCCCGCGCGGTGAACGCCTCGGGGTGGGGAGGGGCTTCCGGTCATGTTCGGGCTTCGCGCGCCCGTGCCACTCTGATCAAGGAAGTCACAAGCCCTTCCAGCCACAAGTTCTATCAGGAAGGACAAAAACACACAGACACAATGAATCGTCGACCCCCATACGGCGATCTTTTCGCTTGTGTGTATTGATTCGTGCGTCCCAGGGCCCTTTCATTTTAGGGGATCGGAAAGTGGTCCAACAGCATGGATGGGGTAGCTGTTGGACCTCAGCTCAAGCCACCGAGGCAGGATTTCCCTTGGGTGGTGTAGCCATTCTGTTTAGGAGCTATCCTGATGTGTGGTGAGAGCTCGGGAAAGGCGCAGCGCCCCCTGGTCGGGCCCTCCACGCCTTCTGCCGCACGCGTAGTTTCGGAGCCAGTTCGGTTCACCTGACTACTAGCACTCGTCGGTCGGTCTGGGAAAGAAGAACCTGGACATATGCCGTGAGCGAGGGTTTTTTCTTTCTCCAACAAGCGAAACAGCTTGCAAGGTGCATGCCCCTGCCAGTGAACCTGCCTATCGGAGCTGCCCCACCTCCCCCTGATTATTCCGACCTCGAGTTGTAAGTCAATCAAGACTTGAAACAATTAAGACAGAAACAGGTTCTCGCGCCCCCAGCCGAGAAGAAGACGAATATAGATTTGAGTTGGACCGAGGGTAACACGGAGCGGCGCCCCAGGACTTGGGGGTAATGGACAAGGGCCTTTCAACTGCCCCCCGCCGCAGGTATTCGATGGGGGCCTCCCGTGCCAAGTCAATCAGGTGGGCTGTCGTTCCCTCCCCATTGCTCGCGGCAATCCTTGCCCCTCGGAATCTCGCGGCATAGGTTGGCTGGCCAGGCGCCTGCTAGAGTTGCGTTCCTTGCTTGCTGACCCTGCTCGCAGATATAGCAGGGGGGGGCGTTCAAGCTCTTGCAGCACGCCAGGAATGTCCAACAACGCGGTGGGTGGGCCTTTTTTCCAGGTGCTGGCCCAATGGACGCGCCATGGCGCATGCTTTTGCGCGGCAGGCTCTTTCTTGCCGTCTTTCTGCCCTGCCGCAGGCCTACTGGAATTGGGGCGAAGGCGGTTGCAGCGTGAGTGCCATAAGCACGTGCATTCGACATCTCCGAGAGCTTGAAGCTGATTGCCTGGCCGAAGAGAGGGCCCAGCAGGGGTCTGCATGGAGCGCGCGGTGCGAGGGGGCCCTGGCTGGCAGGCTTTCGAGAGCTCGCCATGCACTGAGCTTGCTCTCGAGTGTAAAGATGAGCTTGTGACTGGGCCACACGGCGCGATCAAATCCATTTTCTTCGGCAGGCTCGCTAGCCAAGCTGCCATTTGGAAAGGGGGCCCTTGGGGCGCGAGACACGAGGCCGCGGGAAAGGAAGAGCTCGTTGCCCTCCCTGGCCCCGACGTCGGTGAGCTGCGGAGCTTATCGGGAACTGTCCAAACGGCGACGGTTGCCACCCTCGGGAATTCGCTCACCTGGGAGGTGGGGCCCTGTCCGTCTTGTCGGGGGCTTTCACTGCCATGAGTATGATTGGGGATGCTCCGTCTGCCCTTCGAGAGCTCGACATTGCCTTGCTCGCCACGACCTGGCGCGCCTCGCAGGGCAAATTTCGGACGCCATGACAGACGAACTCGGGCATCCCGTTGCCCTTGGGAAAATGCAGTTTACAGCCGGCTCCGGCGAGGTGGCCAGGCAGGCCCCAACAAATGCGGGCAAGTATGGTCACGCCATTGCTGGCCATGTCGTCAATCTCGGGGTCTATGTTACCTTTGGGCGTTCTCTTGCGGACAAAGGTTCCAGGGCCACATCGAAGGCCCGTTGGAAGCGGGGCCTCAAGAGGCCCCCACTGATCAAACGGACGAGATGGGGCCAGGGCCAGCGCGGGCGAGATTTCTGCGCGGCATCAAGCCAAGCCCCATGCATGGAGCGGAGGTGTCAGGACACCCTCCCAGAGAAATCCGCGCCTTTCGCCTCCAGATGGCAAAGGACACAGACCTTTGGGCCGCATGTGCCAACGTTGACCTCTGCTTGCGTCTGGCACCGTGTGGCGTCCAGCCCCATGCATGATATGTTGTTCTGGCGCAAGAAGGCTGGCTGGGAATTTTGGGGCCCCGCCCGCGTTCGCGCGAGGGGCGCGGGGGGGGGTGGGGGGCGGAGGGGGGGGGGGGGGGGGGGGGGGGGGGGGGCGGAGGGGGGGGGCTGTTTGCAAAAACTGTTCCCGCAGTCCAGCTTCGAAGCCCCGTTGGGCGGGGCCTTCGACAGCGGCAGTTACATGCGGGTTGCGATCTCCAGGGGGTCCGCTCCGCCAGGGCTGATCAGATTCGCCACAGGGGCTTGTGGGCCCATCCTGTCAGCAGAGCCTGGCACTCGTCTGATGCTTGTTTTTGTTTTGACACGGTCCTCCACCAGCTAGGATGCCCCAGGTTTCGCCGAAGCGCCAGCTGCGCGGAGCGCCAGACACCACCTGCCATAAAGTTCGGGGGTGCTCGTTCGGGAACGATCGTCGCCGATAGCTGGGTTCCGAGGTCGCGAATGCAGCCCGAGAGGCTGGGCCCATGGACTCCCTTTTCCACCTGTCTCAGGATCCCCATTCCTCCGATTGAGAGACCCCCTCCCAGCGCTGATGAGGGTGGGCACTTAGACAGGGGGAGAATATTTCAGTTCGTCTCAGGCACCCCTGGGATGGACATCTCCATCGGTGGCTCTGGCCCACCACGCCGCCCCCCCTCCTCGCGGGGGGGGGGGGCGCTGAAGTCGCTGAGAACGGTGCCCTTCAAAGAGCCATGCGAGGTGTTCTGCCTTCTTATATTTCGTGAAGTGCCAACCTCGTTGGGCACCATGGCACGCTTCATGCCTGCTCTCACGTGCGTGTGCCTGCAGACGCCGAGCCAGCGCATCTGCTTCAGGATTGAAGTGCAGTGGTTCATGGGGCGTCAGCTGCAGTGCGGTCCAGAGATAGCAGGGGGCCCCAGGCTGGACTCTGGGGTGGATACACCACCACACGCGCATGCAGGGTTGGGTTTTACATAAGACCAAAGCTCATCAAGAACAGGCCAAATGAGACAGGACGGTGGAGGAGCACGGGGGGGTCCTCGGTAACGGGTGGGC